AACCATAGGTACATGCGCATTCTATTCTGGGGGCGCGTGGTGGCTGGCGGGAGCAATGGAGGGCAGGATCCAGAAAGCTCACTGTCCTATCACAGCGAGGCTGAGACAGTTGGGCAAATGCTACGTCGAGTCTGGCCCTTATCGGGGAGGCAGGTGCTCGAAAAAAAAAGATGGAGCGAATATTTTTAAGAGCAGACAACTTGGCAGCTCTAACCCCAAAGGTCACCCAGGCCGTAGGTACCAATACATGGCTCCAGTCCGGAACAAATGACGTATGGGCCAATAGGAGGCAGTCTGGGCCGTGACATCCTGGCTGGCATTAATGATCTGACGCGACAAAGCAAACCCAGCTGCGCTCACCCAACCTTTATACCGGAATACTGGTGCATGCGCTTTAGCATCATAACAAGGGCCCCTCGTGGTGGGAAACTTGCTCTTTCGGCAACATGAAAATCGCGAAACCCGCGTCGCGACTGTTCGGCGCGGGGCCAACTGCCCAGGTAATCTTCTTCTACTAGGGCCCCTTTACTAATGGCCCTTACTTCTACCGCTATTAATTGATCCGTCGCTCCTTGAAGGTTACGGCCTGAACCGCTATGTGGGTTCCCCAGGAAGAACTGCTACCTTACCTTTCGCAGTTAGAGGCCGATCCTCAACGTCTGCAGGGGCGTTGGCTGCTGGGTGTAAACGGTAGCTGCCCAACACAGACCAAGAACCATTCCGCCTCTTTGTGGGTATTATTGGCAGTGCCAGCTGTTCAAACATGTTTGATAAGGAAGGTAGAGAAAGAAGTAGAAAACAATCGAAAGTGAGAAAGCAGATGGTATCTAGGAACTATCAGAATGTAACGTGGTGTACCTCATTGCTGACGCTAAGCATGATACGAAGAACTAAGTAACAAACGGATGTTGAAAGAGCTAAAAGCTACCAATAAATTGACAATGAGACCCCGAAAACAGAAATAGAAAAGCACAAGGGTTCAACGGGACTTAAGAACCCCGCGTTGTCGAGGTTTGCCACCTCATAATCTCATGGAAACCATCATTTGCCTTCATGTCCAGGGTAGGCGTCAAACAAGGCAAGGTAAAAGCTCATGATCCTGATGCTTGTAAGAAAGCAAATCAGTTTGTGAAACCGACCTTTTAGGATACCAGTTTGCTCAAGTCTCCCTCTGCTCACCGCCCACATTCGACGAGAGACATTTCCAGACATGCATTCCAGACATGGCTTTCGTGAATCGTTGGAGAAACGCGTCCGCAGATGTCTCAGACAATCCCGCCTGCCGTGAGCAAGCTTATTGCATGATTCATGAACGGCTGGAATGCGAGGGGGGGTTTTATAAATAAGTACGTGTGTCACGACATGCATCAGCTTGCCGGATACAGAATGTTGAAATGGTTCCTCTGACTCCTACTAAGGTGAAGCCTGCCCTGACGCTAGGTGCCAGCCACCATAAAGAAGGCCAACCCTAACAAACGAACCCCTCAACCCGTATATTGCCAAGTAGTCGACATGGAATATGACACACCTTAGTATTAGCGGCTACCCTGAAAAAGTACGCTTGATGCATCATCTCTGAGCCACGTATAAACCTGTACTCCGAGTTCGCTCGTTGTGTACTTGGGTGTTGGTCCAGGGTATACCCTTTCTTTTGAACCGTTGTGTTCTTAGGTGGTCAGATTCCAGGTTGAGCACTTCACAGCGGAATCAAGGGTTTCATCAAATTGCGTTGAAAATTAGGTAGATACAGTCTATACATATTCAAGGAGTGTGTCTCTGGACATCACCCTATGGGGTTCGTGCGATATACTCGCCACATTAGATCTGGGGTATGTCTCTAGATATATAAAATTCATGCGGCGATTTGTCTTCGCTATGCTACCATGCCGTGCTCACTCCATGCCGGACCAGTCTCGCATTGAGAATCCGGGACAGGCCGCATGAGCTGATCCAACACCATCGTACAACTTAGCAGGTGTTGCCGTGTAAAAAACAAAATGAAAGGAATGCTGGTTTTTTATAAGAGCTGTGAGCCCCCCTGTCCTGAACGCCGTCTATCACAACCACCACAAACGTAACTTGAAACCAGGTACACATGACGCTTGCATCATGGCATGGCTCGGTATTATATGCTTATTTGTTTTATTTTTCCTGTCTCCGACGCCTACTTCATCTTAGAAGTTGGAAGACGCGTTGACGGGTTGTGAAGGCTGGTGATAATTCTCAAGCGTGGACTGGAAGGGGGAGCGTCCAGAAGACTGTGGGGGAGGCAGGCCGGCGGAACTGGGCTCAACCTTATCGACAGGAGTGTAGCCGCCGTTGTACTCCATGAGGCCGTCGTTCTCCTCGGCAAGCCTCTTGCGAGCACGGATTCTCCAGGCGACGAGAGCGAGAGCACCCAGAAGGATGGCGCCGCCAACACCACCCACGACACCACCGATAATCTTCTTGTTGTTGTCGCTCAAGCCGGACGAGCTAGAAGAACCGCTGTCGTTGAGGTCAGGGGTGGTGGTCGTCACGGAAGCACTAGTACTGACGACCTGCGCACCATCAGAGTTGGTGTAGGTGACGGTAAGATACGAAGTAGAAGTGACTGGGCTGGCAGAGGTGGTCTTGCTGTCAGACTGAGCAGCACTCGTCGTCGCCTTGGAAGCTTCCTCCGAGGTGGAAGTTGTCTGCTGGGCGTTGCTTGTCGAAGCGGCATTGCTGGTCTGGGCGGCACTGGTCGTTTGAGCGGCTGAGCTCTGCTGGGCACTCGTTGATGCTTCGCTCTTAGAGGTCGTAGACGCGGGCTGGCTGGTCGATGAAGCCTGGGCCTGGCTGGATGTGCTTTCGGCCTTGCTGGACGTGCTCTCCTTGGTAGTGGTCTCCTGCTTTGCAGAAGATGTTTGGGCGGCACTGGTAGGGACGGATGCCGCGGAAGTGGATGGACTCGAGCCGCCGGTTTCGCTTGCAGCAGCACTGTTGTTATCGCTGCCACTCTGGCGTGCCATCAGCTCGCGAATCACCTCTCCACCTTCTCGGATGAACGAGGCCTCGGTGGCCAGGCCAATGGCGACCACGAGGAAGAGGATCTGAAAGAACCGGGTAGGAAACATTTTGACTAGGACGCCTCAAAGGGCGGGAGGCTGGTTGTGTTTGGTTCTGGAGGAAGGAAGTTGGCCCTTCTCGGTTCTCCAAGCGTTGCTTTAACAACCTGCTCACAGGGCTGAATTTCCCCTGGTAATTTAAGTGGTAAGATTAGTTCGAATTTGACGCGTATCACGAGGTACGGCTAACGAGAGTCACCGTTCTCCAATCGAAAGATGGAAGAAATAGAATAAATGGAATAAAACGAAGGATATAATGAAAGATCGTTGGACAAGAGAGATGGGGAAAGAGGAGTAATGAAGGTGTGTGTGGTGGTGGCCGTAGGGGGCGACTTTTCAAACAATAGTGGTACGGCCGGAAGATGGCACTAGATGGAATGGGATGGGGTGAAGAGTTGGCAGACTTCGTATTCAGGTCCGCCAAGGCCCACTAAAGGCCCTCCTGACAGCCAACAGGAGCCGGCCGCCCTCCGCCACCCCCGAGACCAGGATGGCCGACACTGCCACCACGGTACCACCTCCAGAGCATTACAGCAGCCGATCACAGCACTTACAGGCAGCTGAAGCGCTATGGGCAGTCGCTTTCCGCGGCGACCTGGACCCTTAGCCCAGCGTCATCCTGGGTAAGGTAGCCTGGAACGTCACACGCACACACCCCCCACCGCTTGGCTGCCAGGCGGCCCAGGCTCGCGTCCATTGGCTCGGGGACGGCTGATTTAAAGCGAATAGTGTCACAGCCACGTTTACAATCGCTTCTGACTATTGCTCTCGCCAGAAGCGGCACCCCTGCATATCCTGCTTTGATCCAGGAACCAGAACGATGGCGTATGCAATACATCATAAAACAAGCTACTACACTCGAGCACCCGTCGTGGGCGCCCCGAGGATCAGTTTCCCATCCCCATCCGCAAACCGACGATTTTCCTGACACAAAGGAGCAATGCCGACAACAAAGAGACAATAGGCGACTCCGGACAAAGGGACTTGCGTGCCTACATATACGCAGGTACTTTGCGTCGAGACTAACCTGCAACAGATCCCCTCTCTTGGCGGCCCGGCGTAAAGTGAACCCCACCCGTCATCAGCAAGTCTCAATGTCTTACCTCCAAAAATTTCAATGCAATATTACCAAAGAGAGCCCCACTAGACCAGGTACGTACTGGAGCGGACGATCCAATGTCAACCTGGTACATGAAGTCACACATCGTTTGAGAACATCACCGCCAGCAGGACCAGTTCGATCCCGCCAATCCCGCATTGACAGCGTATGCCTTCATTTCCCCACGACTCCTCTTCACCAGTGGAATCGACCGGTATTTGTTTCGGAGCAGCAAGCATGAGCCGTGGAGAAGAGAAGGGGGAGAAAAGGAACGACTGAGGGGGGACTATCGACCAAATAGCCTCTTACGTGGACACAGGTGTGGCTGTGCCAGTCTCGGGGTCGCTTGGAATGTGTGTTCCGCGCCCAGACTGCCAGATTGAGTAATCATGCAGAAAGATGCAGTTCGAAAATAGAAAATTTGTCTCTTGACTCCTATGTAATGTACGGACGAGAATTTTTTCGTCGTTCTACCGATCCAAGTACCCGTACTCAGAATGCAAATCCAGTACCTCGCATGCTCAGTGCGTTAATGTGCAGCCA